TTACTGTTCTAATGCGGAGTGTTGCGCATTGTGTGTGTGTGTGTGTGTGTGTGTGTGTGTGTGTGTGTGTGAGAGAGAGAGACCGCGTCCCATCACAGTAGAGTCAGCTGTCTTAATCGCAGCTTGTGTACTGCATCATTACTGTGTCTGTCACGCGACTCTCTTCCGCTTTCGGGCTTGAACTGATGGTAAAACTAATGACATTATTTACTGTCTTTACATTTATTTTGAAAGATGAAGCTCGCTATTATGGTAAGGGGTGTTACATTTCTGACAAGTGCTTGCGATGTTCAGCCAATCACAATGCACTGGGTCAGCTGGCCAATCAGAGCAGACTACGCTTGTCGGAAGGAGGGACTTTGTAGAAAACGAAGCGTTTGAGAGAGGCGGGGCATATAGGACCTACAATAATGTACAGTATTTGAAAAAGAATGTGTTTTTTGAACATTAAAGCATGTCAACATATTCTGTTACACCAAATACACAAAATAATGATCTTTAAAAAAAAGCATCATATGACCCCTTTAAAGAATTTATATTTTGGAATAGATAAATAAATTAACAATTATTTAATTAATTATTTAGTTTTTTGGAACTACAAGTAAATAATCATTAGATTAAATTGTGCCATTTCTGTTGTCATGTTTGTAGACTAGATGTTAAATGTGGAATTGCCTGTATGTATTTTGATGTCTGTGATATAGGTTTGGAGTGATAATGGCGGAGCGGGTGTTGGTCATCGGCAGTGGCGGACGGGAACATGCGCTAGCATGGAAGTTAGCTCAGTCACCTCACGTTCAGCAGGTCCTTGTGGCTCCTGGTAATGCAGGAACCGCCAACAGCGGGAAGATCTCCAACTCCGGTGAGAGCGCTAGTCATCCAGCAGACCACAGGAGTATGAGCAGTGATTTTACAGCAACTACTCTAACACTGAGTTATTGATTAAACGATTGCCTACAAAATAAATGTAATTAAAAAATACAGGTATGACATTTATGTGAGATTATATTGTTTTATCCATGAACATAAGGCTACATACCACTTATAGGTTAAATGGCTTATACTTCTGTAATTAATAAAACTAAATGATCAATAAGCATAAAAAAAATACTTAATGCACATACAAACTTTTTGAGTACATGAATGCATGTGATGATAATTTATAATATTTTATCTTTATTTTTCCAGCGGTGTCTGTGAACAATCACTCGATTTTAGCTCAGTATTGTAAAGATCATAACGTGGGGCTTGTGGTTGTTGGTCCAGAAGTTCCTCTGGCTGCTGGTAAGATGTTTGTCATTATCACACTGATTGATGAAAAACAGGAAATTGTGGCTTAATCAAAATAGATGATGAAAGACATGTCTTTATGACATTAATGTATTTATGTTTACATATTATCACAGATAATCTGATTCATATTTGTGTACAAACATCTGATGAACACCTGAAATGGCAAGTTGACAGTCTAAAGTTTCAAGAATATTACATTTATTAGGGCTGTGCAATTAATCACATGCGATTGTCATACGCGTCTCGTCAGTAAAGCCGGTTCCATGATTGGTAGTAAATCACCATCACCTGTTTTCAAATGGAGTGGCATTTACTACACCGAGCCGTAGTTCACGGACAAGCTAGGCAATATTGCGTTCATAATCGCAGATTAATCGCATTTGATTATGAACGCGATATTGCCTAATTGTTAGTGAACTACGGCTCTGTGTAGTAAATACCACTCCAGCTGAAAGCGGGGACATGATGCAGTTTTTGAGTAAAAAGGGCACACGCCGCGAAGGCGGGGATATCCCCTGACACAGACTTGCTAGAGCCAATCAGAATCAAGTGAAAATGGTCCCTGTATTTGCATGGTAGTGGACCTGGTTGAAAACCCCATGCTCTAAGAGGAGAAGGGAGAGCGGGGCCCAGGTAGTCACTGAATGAGAATAAACATTATATTTATGATAGAAGCAGAGGCAAGCAGTGCTTACTATCGAGAGAAAAAAGTTGAAAACGATATCTTAAGTGGTACAGTGCATTGTGAGTCCTATAGGGAAGCAAAGCACATACATATAAAACACAGCACATTCTGTTTGTATGTCCTGAAATTAAGCAATGTGAATTTAAGGCTTTAGAGCTGTTGAGGCCATAATGCAGTGAGCGACTGTCTCGGTGCTTCGGAGAATAACCACACGAGGCTCAGCAGCAATAACCATGGTGAATATGAGATGAATACGCAGTAGGGGTGGGAATCTTTAGTCACCTCACGATCCGATCCGATTCCGATTCTGGGAGTCACAATCCGATTTCAGAACGATTCTTGATCTTCTTTTTTTTTTAGAACCCATTCCCAGCAGCACACAATGCTTCTAGTGGAGTGGTAGCGTACCCCTATGGGGCAAACTGTATCTTGTGCGTCATAAGCCAATGCTATCGCATCCACGGCCCAGTGGGATAGCCTTTGTTTCAATACCGGTAGACCTTTAGTGTGACTGCCGTAACGCACAAAGAGCTGTTCTGAGAGTCTGAGATTACTGGTGCGTTCGACATAGATGTGCAGGGTGCTGCGGATGGAAGTTTAATACAAGCGTGTGACGGAAATATTATGCCCCTTACCATATTGTGATGCCTTGTCCCGGCACGACGAGACAAAAACATTAAAAGCCATTATAAACGAGGCATTTGTTGCATCCAGTGGGGACATAATTACGGATTATAATGATTTATACTGTCTTTTTACGCAATGCATTGCATTGCGCCGCGTAAACATAAAACCATGTCTGCATTTGTGATCGGAGAAATGACAAACTACAAACGCTACTCTACACTGCTCAAAACTTGCGTTTGAATCGTCAGTGGCAAATTCTTTAAATATAAAAACGTACTTACAGTCTGTGAGTCAGAACAGCCGGCATTGTAGTCTACTCCAGGGGTTTTGTTATAGCGTCCAGGACCAAAGTCCTAAGTGGGGATAGTGGTTGGGTGGGGAGGGTTAAGCCGCGGAGAAATTTTATCACTATATCGTTCTTGCCAACTGACTGCTTGTCGATATCGTTATGGAAAGCTAAAATTGCTAAAAGTATAGCGTGGAAGGCGCATGGCCGTCATCTAAGCACTCTTGTAAAATGGACAGACTGGATGAGATCGAGCAGGTCGCTGGATCTATATTCTTTGAGCCGCACCAATTAGTGAAAACTTTCCATTTATGAGCATACAGGAGCCTGGTGGACGGGGCTTTCGCTTCAGAAATGGTTCTCATCACTTGCTTAGGTAATGATCCTGAAGTGGGTGGGCTCCATTGAGAAGACATGCAAGTCCCACAGCGTTGGGTTAAGCCGTTTGCCTGGGAGAGAAGGTCCCTCCTCACAGGAATAGGCCATGGAGGGCTCGATAACATTCTGAGAAGGTCCGGGAACCAGGGTTGAGTAGGCCTTTGTGAATGGACCTTCTATGGACAATGCGAATAGACATGGACAGTGCGAATCGACAAGAGAAACTGATCTGCCCATAACAGCAGGCTTGTCGCGAGCGAGATAGGAGAGTGAGAACGGATGCCTCCCTGATGAATTATATACGCTACCACTGAGATGTTGTCCGTGCGAATGAGAACATGCATGTGATGAACTTGAGCATAAAAACTCTCGAGCGCCAGGTGAACTGCTTTGAGCTCCAGGCAGTTTATGTGCCATATTCTCTCCTCGACTGTCCAAATGCCGGACTCTGGGCGATGGTCGCAGAGGGCTCCCCAGCCTGTGCACGAAGCATCTGTTGTGATAACTTTCCCTTTCGCAAATCTGACCAAGTGGGACACCTTGTGCGTAGAGAGCTGTATCAATCCAGGGGTTCATGGTCTTTAAACATCTGTGCATCCCTAATACACGCATCAAGCCCACGTGCCAGGCTGATACGGGCACAAGAGTCTTCAGCCATAGTTGAAACGGCCGCATCTGCAGCAGTCCCAAGCGGCACACCGCTGAGACAGCTGCCATCAGTCCCTGCACTCTCTGAAAGCATTTCAGGGGGTGTGACTTGCCCACTTTGAACGCCGCTAGCAAGTTCATGATGGCTCTCGCGTGCTCTGGTAGCAGGTGGGCTCGCATGGAGATAGAATTCTGACTAACACCCAGGAAAGGGATATTTTGCATCGGTTGCAGCTGGCTTTTTTGGATATTGATTGTGAGCCCTAGATATTGAAGGTGGCTGATGAGAAAACTCCTGTAGTCACAAAGTTCGCTCACTGGGAGGGGAGAGGGCTGGGTTCATTCACTTGGTAAAAGTGCGTGGAGCTAAGGAGAGGCCAAAGGGGAGTATCGCAAATTGATAGACCACTCTTTTGAAAGCAAATCTCCGAAAACACCTGTGACGAGGGGCTATCTGTATGTGGAAATAAGCATCCTTTAGGTCTGCTTAGATAAACCAGTCCCGGGTGTGAACAAGCGATAAGATTCGTTTCAATATGATCATTTTGAATGAGCCTTTTGCTAGGGCGTGATTCAAACGATGTAGATCTAGAATAGGGCGAAGCCCACCGTCCTTTTTTGGAACAAAGAAAATGTCAGCTTGAAAAACTGGTCTCTGTCCTTGTGAGGCACAATCTCCATGGCTCCTTTGACGAGGAGATTGTGTATTTCTGCTCTTAAAACTGGAGCATTTGAGGCTTGAACCTCCGACGTTACCACGCCATTGAACCGGGGTGGTCTGCATGCAAACTGAAGTGTGTAGCTGTTTATTACCGTATTCTCCACGCCTCAGCAAACTGTAAAAGAGGCTTCAGCATGATAGGATCTGACAGCTCGCTGCTGAGTGACAGGGGGGCTGTGAAAAACGTGAGTGTGTGTGACAGTGGGAAGAGGGGAGAAACACTTTTTGTGAATTTTTAAAAAATTTTATTGCACAAACATGTGTAACAGACACAAAACAACATTATTTGCCTTCGCGTGGTGAGGCGAACAGGCTGAACATAGCTTTGTTTTCCTGCTGGGCTTCCTCCAAAGTCCATCAGGAATGTGGCTGGGCATTATTGACTGGTTTCCCTGACGTGTGGGGTCTGTGCTGCTTAGGAGGCGGGTATCACTGGTGCCACAAGTCCTTGGGGTGCACCGAAGGCTCTGGCTGAGGGTGGGGCATTGGAGATCTATCGGCTCGCGGTCTAGAGGAAGAGCACTGAGCGGAAGAGGAGCATGAACACATGGGAGGGGGCTGACCGGTGCATTTCGACATGGAGTGCTTTATCACCCTTGATTGTTTTTGTGCTTCGGAGAATCAATCTGCAGGGCCTGAATTCCGTTTTGGAAAAGGGGGGGGGGGATTTTTTTTATTTGAGGGGGGAGTTAGGGTATTTGTTTTAAACTACAATAATCCAACCTAAATATTTTGTCACCCAGTGTATTTGTGTTTTACAATTTATAATGTTGATTCTTTTTATATTGTAAAGAAGATACTTAAAATAACCTAGATTTCAAACTATGATTTTAACTTATTTGAACTAAAAAAAGACAAGTGAACAGTCAGTAATAAAATAAGAATGGATAAATGACAAGCAATGGTACAAGCAAATACAATGTCAGGATACAACTAAAATGAACTGTGCTTTTAAGTTTTTTTTCAGGTAGGTATAACAGTAATAGTCAGGTACTGAAATACCACAGAGAATAATAGTCTGTTTAACTTTAAAATAACACAGGCTAGTCTTTAGTGTATAAATAAACATTAATGACAGACAGCAGCATGTTTATTTAGGTTGCTGTCTCTTTAAGACCTCATGCACGGATCTGTTACACAAGTTTTGTTTCTCAACTGTTTACATTCTTTTAATAGCCGCGTTACAAGGAATCAGTAGAAATATGAGCAATCCTGCGTCGAAATTCAAGCCCTGCTCTGCGAGGGAGTCATCCGAGCTGCCAACAAGTCCCGAAGGACTGACGGGGGCGTTCAAAAGGACGGGCTTCTCTGCATCCTTCATATCTGTCAGCGTTAGCCATAGGTGCCTGTCCAGCACAACCAGGTTACCCATGGCACGGCCGATAGACGGCACCGTCATCTTAGTGGCTCGCAGGGCGAGATCAGTGGTGCTGCGAAGCTCCCTGAAGATTTCTGGATCCGAGCCCTGTTCATCCAGGCGCTTAAGCATCTTTGCCTGGAAGACTTGGAGGACAGTCATTGAGTGGGGGGCTGACGCTGCTTGGCCCGCTGCCATGTACACTTTTCCGGCGATATTAGTGGTGTGGCAGGGCTTGTTGGGGTGTACGGCAGCAGTCTTCACCCTCAGCGATGAATAGCTGCACAGA